ATATATGGTTTGAAAAGAGAAGTTTGAAATAAAAGTTCTTCAGGTAAGAGATAAAGGTTCTTCATATGAATTCACCAGAATCAGGAAAAATATATAAGAAGAGATGGGTGGGGCCAGGTTGGGGGTAGAATTCGAATTTTAAGTTGGATTTCTAACCCTAATTGTTAGGTGAAAATCAAAGTAGTGTATTGCTTTTCAGAGTCCTCTTTCTCTGCCTGTATTTTCTGAGGGTCTGTCACAGGCTTCTTTTCTTCCAACTATACACAACCTCCCTGTTCTATATCACCCACTCCCATGAGAATTCCCAAACCCATCCATCCCAGACTCTTTCCTAAACCTGGACTTTTATGTTCGACAGCATGCTCAACACCTACAATTTGATATTTCAAAAACAGAACTAGCACACATAAAAAGGTACTAGAATAATAAATGAATTCAGCAAGATTGCAAGATACAACAAGGTCAATTTTTCAAATCTCAGTTGTATTTCTATACAATAGTAATGAATAAATCCTGAAAGAAAATTTACTATTCCATTTACAATATCATCAATAATAATAAGACACTTAGGGATAAATTTAACAAAAGAACTGAAACTACACTGACAACAAAAACAAACACTGAAAACTACAGAAAGTTATTGAAATAAATTAATAAGTGGAAAGATATCCCATGTTCATGAGTTGAAAGACTTACTTAAGATGACAGTAGTCTCCAAACTCATCTACAAATTCAATAAAATCCCTAATGATTTATTTGCCAAATTTACAAGATGATCCTAAAATTCACATGGAAATTGAAAAGATCCAGATAGCTAAAAACATCTTGGAAAAGATGAACAAAGTTGAAGAACTCAACACTTCCCAATTTCAAAACACTTTAAAAAATTACACTAAATAAGACTGTGTGGTACTGGCATGAGGATAGACAGATGGATAAATGGAATAAAACTGAGTCCAGAAATGAACCCATATATTTGTGGTCAGTTAATTTTGCAGAAGAATGCCAAAACAATCCAATGGGGGAAAAGAATAGTTTTTTCAACAAATGGTTGTATTATCCACCTGCCAAAAAATGAAGTTGAACCTCTTATACCATACATAAAAATTAACTGCTAACAAATAAAAAACCTAAATATAAGAGATAAACCTATACAAATCTTAGGCAAAACATAGGCTTAATTTTTCATGATCTTGGATTAAGCAATGGTATCTTAGATGTGATACCAAAAGCACAAGTGACAAAAGAAAAATAGAGAAATGATGCTTTAAAGAACACTATAAAGGAGGTAAAAAGGCAACCCACAGAATGGGAGAAAATATATGCAAATCATATATATGAAAAAGTCTAGTATCCAGAACATCTAAAGAACTCTTACAACACAGTAACAAAAAGACAAATAACCCCATTTAAAATAAGCATATGAAGGTTTCAATTTGTATTCTTTGATAATGTATTTACTTTTAAAGTTAAAAAGCAATCCACATGTATGTCTAAATATTCAGCAATAGTCAACCTATGATATTAAAATTTCCCTGGATAATTCACAAAGTGAGTGATTCAAATACTGACAAGTGAGATTTGGCAGCATATTGTAGCAATGATTTTGTATAATTTAGAAAAAAATTTAAAGCAAATTCCTGTTTACTTTTGCTCCCTTTTATTATAACTACTACCTTTTTGTATTTAGTTATTACTTAAATCTATTTTTAGAATAAAATTTTGTTTACCATCTATAAAAACAAAATAGAAAGATCCTTAATAAACATTTCTCCCAAGAAGATATACAAATGGCCAGAAAGCACATGAAAACATGTTCAATGTCACTAGTCATTAGGAAGATACCAACCTAAATCACAATGAGATACTACTTCACAGCTACTAGAATGGCTATGATCAAGGACAAACAAAAACAAGGCTGATGAGGATGCAGAGAAATTGAAACCTTCATACATTACTGGTAGGAATATAAAATGATGCAGCCACTTTGGAAAACAGTCTGCAGGTCTTCAAAAAGCAAAACATAGATGGTTAAACATATTAAAACATTATACAGTTAACATATACCCCAACAATTCTAGTCCTAGGTGTACACCCAAAAGAATTGAAAATACATCTACACAAAAACTTGTATACACATGTTCACAGCAGCATTATTTACTATAGCCAAAAAGTGGAGACAGCCCAGTGTCTACCAACTAATGGATAGTTAATATCCATATAGTGGAATATTATTCAGCCATAAAGAGGCATGAAGTACAGATAGATGCCACAACATGGATGAACCTTGAAAACATACTAAGGGAAAGAAGTCAGGTGCAAAAGACCACATATTATTTGGCTTTATTTATATGAAATGTCCAGGCTAGGCCATCAGTGGGACAGAAAGTATATTAGTCAGTGTCAGAGCCTAGGGGAATGGGGCACCAGAATGACTGCTAATGGGATTCGGGAATTTTTCTGAGAAATGATGAGATGTTCTGGAGCTAGATAATGGTGTTGGTTGGAAAACCTTGTGAACATATATTAAAAACCTAACTTCAAAAGTCTTCCTCCTTGTCCTTGTGGGTTCCCTGTCTCAAGAAATCTTGAATCATCTGGACTTCTTTCCTCTCTTTACCCCATATTCCCTCAATATTTGACCTCTGTATCTTTTGAACATCTTGAATCTATCACTTTTCTCCATCCCCACTCACACTATTGGGATTCATAATGCCACCATTTCTTGCCTAGTGTCTGCAACTGGTCTGCAAACTCCCAGTCTTGTCTTTGCCAAGTTCATTCGCTATGGTTTAACCAAAGGGAATGATCTTTCTGATACACGTGATCACATTTTAAATTAAACCAAGATAAAATTTCTCTTTTATCTCTCTTTGAGGCTTTAATATTACTTACATACATGTAAGTAAATATATATGATTCCAGATATACAACAATGAAAAGACATGATCCCAGCTTAGGGGTCTTGTAGTCTAGAGGGAGTCCCCAAAATTATACAGGCAATTAGGATGTAAGATGGTAAGTGCTATGCGAAGGTCATGATCAGGGAGACTGGAGACTGGGGGAGTCAGGAGAGGACTCTCTGGAGTGGTGAGGTCTTAGCTGATTCCTGGAGAATGATAGGAATTAAGCAAAGAAAAGAAGAGGACATTCCAGTAAATGAGGAACCTTGTGCAAGAGTCTGTAGGTAAGAGAAAGCATGGACCTTATAGACTCTTCCAAGGACAGGGAGAAGCCTATCACTACAGGTCTTAAATGGCCATCTGTGATGGTCAAGTCTGTTTTGTTAAAGAGAAAAAAATAAAAAGTCTGAGTAAGTGAAAAGACTGGGGGAAGGTGGTTTGAGCAAGCCTGAATCCAAGTGTTCCGACCTGTCAGAAGTCCCTGTGACTCGTCTCTGCTCTGTTAGCCTATCTCCGTGGAGAACTCTGTAGTCTATGTCCAGATGGCCATGAGCAGCTTCAGGTTCAGACTTCACAGGGTGAAAATGCAGCAGCAGGAGCTCTTCCTGACCAATATTTCCAAACACTGACTTTTCACTGGGCTGATGGAGACCATTGGTCGAGCCTGACTCAGTCACTGTGCCAGAGGGACCACATTCCCTTGTCTCTGGGCTCTGGAGCCAGCTTGATGAGAGGAGGTGGAGAGGAGCGGCCAGGATCAAAGCAAAGTGGGGGAGAGTGTGAACAGGGAGGGCTCCCCAGGGGAAGTCGGGCACGGTGACCGACGTAGGAGGGATGGATGACGGACAAGGTGAAAGAGCAGTGGCCCGTGAAATCATCATAAGGTTGCTGGGCTTCTTCCAATGGGCAGTGGGGCCACTGAACCATGTGCACAAGATGATTCCCGATAGAGACAGAGATGGAAAGCGGAGGCAGTGAGGGCAAGGACACTGGCTTGGAAGCAGCTGTGTTAATTAAGGTGACATATTATGGTTGCTAAAACTAGGATAGGGTTGTTAAGAGTAAAAAATAGTTGATAAATTTGAAAAGTTAGAAGATGGCAGAACTTGGGTGACTGATTAAAGGTAGAAGCTTCGTGGGTAAGGGGTTCCAGTGACAGTCGGGGTAGTTGAGTGTGACTCCAGGTTTAAGAAAATAAACTTTAGGGCAACCAAGTAAATAGTGACCACTGACTAGGGGGCTCAGGGGCAGATGCAGCTCTGGGGGAGGGGAGGGTGAGTGAGTTCAGTGCTGTCCTGTGTGGTGTCTGAGTGGAGCAGATTAGCCAGTACCTTGAGCTTCTGTTTGGAAGCTCGGGAAGCACCCTGCACATGTATCAGGATGGATCGCTGCTCAGCAAAGCACAGTGAAGACCCATTTCCAGCTTCCAAGGAGCTTGTAAGGCACGAGGGACGAGGGCTGTTTGCACCACTGAGAGGAGCCCAAAGGCAGGAGTAGGTTACACACAGGAGATGCCTGTCCTGCCCCAGCACCACCTCAGGGAGCAGGGAAGGCTTTCCTCAGGATGAAATCTTCACGGTCATGTATAAAAACGCTTCCAGCTGGCAGCTGGCCCCTCTCACAAGTGGCTGAGAACAGGACCGGCCCGTGCAGGAATGGGCGTTCAGATCGCTGAGCAGACTGCAGCCAAGAGCACAGCGTGTGCCAGTGATGCCTGGAAGTTCTGGCTTCACGAATGCTATGTGTTTACCAGTTCTGCATGCAGAGCCGGAGAATGCTCTGGCGTCTCCCCTCTGGGACTGGGCCCCCGAGCACCCCTAGATGAAAAGGTTGCATGACCAAAGACCCTGACAAGTGAGCCAGCACTGAAGCCCGCTGGAAAAGTAAGCCCAGATGTTCACATGAGCATCAGAGAAACGACATCACAGTACACCTGAGAGCGGGTCCCTGGTGGGCGGTGGAGAAGAGCGGCCAGGTCTGGGTCAGGACTCCGGGAGCAGGTTGGGAGGAGGGTCTCGGGAGGGTGTTATGAGAAGCTGAAGCCCACGAGTATGCGCTTGAACCCCAGGGCCCCATATTAACCTTTGTCATTTTCAGTCTCCAGAAAGGTGCCAGCCTGGGATTTATGTGTTACTCCTTAACACAACCCAAGGAGAAAGGAAAAACAGCTTTACTTCAGTACTGAAAACTGTCCGGAAACCTGGAGGAGAAATGCCGCATGTCACTGTGAGGAAACACAAAACAGGAGGCAACGTGTTTGTGTTGGGCAGATGGGAAATGGCTTTCGGTATTTCCATAGGTGATTATAACATCATTAAGGAAATGTGAGAAAGCCGTTAGTATTACATGAATGCCTGCCAGTCTGTCTGTTTTAAGTCTCATTCTAATGGATTAAACTACAGCTGCATGTGTAATTTTTCAAAGTATGCATAAATGATATTTTACATTGCAAATTCACTATTAATCTAAATATGTGATCACTCTTAAATATGCCATTCCTGAATTACCTATAAAATTAAGATTAAAATAATAAATAGATGCAATACCAATATTTTAAAGAAAAGAGCTCCACCATTATTAATAGTAATCACACAAATCTAAGCCCTTGTAATAGTCAGTATGGTTTGTCAGTATCTATTTGGCTAGTCCACTGTATGGAGGATGTGTGCTGACTTGTGAGCCTAGGATGCTAGGAAAATAAGGAAGCTCAGGGCTTCCTTTTTTCGGAGAGATCTGTGTAAGCACTATCTGTGGGGAACTCTTGGCTGCTAAGCAAATCACTCTGTTGTATGTATAGCTTTGTTGATTTACATGGTTCTCTAAAAGGCACACCCAGGGTTTTGTTTCAAATGAAGAATGTTCACAGACAACTGTCTAATAAAGCTGAAATGTTGTCGGGGATGGAGAGAAAGGGAAGGTCTTTGGATGGTTAGGTCATTCTTGACCTCGGGGTCTTCTGTCTCAGCCTGATTTGAAGATTGGACCCTCCTTCTCAGTTCAGCTAATGAAGGTGTGGAACACTGATTGGAAGGGGGTAACTCCTATCTCTAGTTTTATAGAGAAAAGTGGTTCTTACTCCTGAGTGGGTCTGTAGGTTCAAGGAGCAGGCTTGTTTGCAGCCCCCAGAAGATCATGGGTTTTATTTTTATAAAGATCTCTTAGGGACACACTGAAAAATCCAACTTTGCAGCAGGTGAGGGACCCAGCTGGAATCTTAAATGTGTGCAGAACCCCAGCAGCAGAAGAACTGTTGAAAGGACCATGTCTTTGCAGATGAGTGATGACACATGACCCCTTCAGTTGCTAAGTTGTTTTGGGCTCTCTTAAATAAAAAGGAGCTCCATCTAGCATTTTCTATAACAGCTAGCACATGGTGGTGTTCAGTGAGTGCCAGGCCTAGTTATAAGTGCTTTAGCTTGCTTAATTCTCACAGAAACCCTCTGAAAGAGGCCAGAGAGACATGGCACAGCTGGAGGAGGAACCCAGGCAGTCTTTGCTCTTAACTGCCAAGCTAAACTGCCTGTGTTCAACTATCCTACTCCATGCCTACCCACTTTCTTTCCCCTCTTAGACCATTTGCAAACATAAGATTGTTCAACAGCCTGTTCTAACGTGGGAGCCATACCAATTCTCTTAAACCCTATTTGCTGATGTATCTAAAAATATGTCTTGGACTATGGAAAATGCCAAGGTACAGTCCTTTCAATGGACAGAGAAGCAGGTGATGCAATGTGACAAAGATTATGCTTGAGTTGGGAAAGCTGAATTCCAATCTTGGCTCTTCTCCAGACCGGCTGTGTGATCAGGAGTGGCTGCCCATCTCTGCCCTTCAGTTTCCTGAGGCATCAAATGAAGAGCTCACCTAAAAGGTCTCTCCACTCCCTTCAGGCTCAAACACTCTGTAATTCCATGATACAAGGTTTGAGAGATTTGATGAAATGTTAAAGAAAGCAGCTAGCAGTTAAGGAAGAATGTTAACCTAATCACCAAATTTAACAGAAGTGTTATGTTTCTCCCTCCGTTTCCTGCCCACAAATCCATCTCCCCTATGATGGGCAACCATAGGGCAGATCTGATGCAACCTTATTTGAGAGAAAGTACTTGTTTCTAAATGCTTAGTTAATAGTTTGGTGTTTGAAGAGGGTTAATAAAAAAGATGGAGACCAATAATGCTGACATGGATATATACACACAGATTTCTCTGTAGGCAGGCCTAATAATAAGTAGGAAAGTATTTTGAACATAAAGGTAATTAATAATCATGCCTTTGCAGAATATTTAGTTTCTTATATAGTCCGCTGATTTAAAAATGATTAGATGGAGCATTGTCTTTCAAAGTCAGGCAAGTATCACTAATGGGTTTAATAAGAAAGCATAGTTTACTTTTAAAATGTTGTAATACTTTTTTCAACTTTTGGATCTACTTTATTCAATATGTAGCTTATTACTAAACAAATAAAAGTTCCAGTTGTGGAGAAAGCCTTAATTTTCAAAAATGAGGGATTTGTAAGTTCAACCCTTTTGTTTTGCTACAATTTTTAAACTGATTAAATTTATAGCTCTGTTGCTCTTTAGCCAAAGCAATTACTAATTGTAGTCTTGATCTCTTAAAATATTTTTTGAACAAGAGTTATTTCTGAGTATTAAAATTTGGCATAGGATCTTACTATGTAAACATACCAGATAGAAGAAATTGAATATACCAACTGGGGTTCTATAGCACCTCATCAATATCTTAAAACCAAGCTCACAATTATTGGAACTATTTCATCAAACAATTGGAGTGTGAGCTGCATTTATTCCTACAATGGTATGTATATCCAGAAAAGACAGTTTCCTATTCTAATATGGAGGCTTTGCCCTTTTGACCCAGAAGTACCTTTCAGAGAAAACCTAAATGGACATGAGAGTCAGGGTGAACACATACTTCAGAGACAATATAAAGAAGCCGGCATGAGCTTGAGCTCTGAAAAGAATTGTGAAGCTGCATCCTGTCAGAGTTTCCTCTTATTCCTGTATTTCTTTTTCCCTGTACCTCCTTATTGGCAGCAAATTGACTATTCTTTGGTACTGTTTCTGTACATTCCTTCCCACAATCTTTTCTCTTTTTATTTTTCTATCTTCCTTATCTCCCTTGCAGTACCTTTCTTTCCAAGTAACTCACCTGGTTTTTCTTTTCTTTCCCCCTGAGTTCTCTCATCACAGCATCTGTTTTTCCCTTTAACTCCTTCTCCACATTGCTAATCTATGAGAAGCAGCAAACCACAAAACTACAGGGAGCAGTCCTTGATCCCTCAGCAAGAGAAAAATTTCATTTTTTCTGTGTGATCAGATTTATTTATTTTATGTCTGTTTTTTCCATAAAAGAATCAATTCAGTATTCATTCACATCTTGAATTAACTATGAAGAGAAATGGATTTCTCTGTTGTTGGTTCAATGAGAAAGCAAGGGAGCACTGTTTTGATGTTTTCCCGACTCAACTAATCCAGTTGCACACCTGTTAGTGAGCTTGAAAACCTGCCAGGTGCAGAGGATACATAACCCCATACTAACACTCTAGAGGAGAAATGGAAAAGTAAACAAATACCTACAATACAGTTAAATGTGATAAAGGCTAATTCAGATGGATTTCTTAGTTTGCAAGATGAAGTAAGCAAATGTGCCTTGGCCTGAAAGAAAAAGAAAATCGTAGAAGGGACAAGACTTTTTAAGAAGAATCCTGAGAAAAAAAACAATAAGAGAGAGATCCACAAGATGGGTTCTGCTAATAGAGAGGATATGGACACTCTAGACAGAAAGCACCATCTGAGCAAATGAACAGTTTCACCACAAGCAAGGCTAAGAGACAGGGTATGGATTTGGAATGGTAAGAGATACAGCTGGAAAGGTTAGTAGGGCCAGACAATGAAGGACTTCATCTGCTATAGCTTGGTTAAGAAGCATGAAAGTATCACTAAAAATAGTTTATATACCAAAAAATTGGACAACCTAGAAGAAATGGATAGTTCCTGGAAACATACAGTCTTCCAAGGCCAAGTCAGAAAAAAATAGAAAATCTGAAAAGACCAGTTACTAGTAATGAAATTGAATCAGTAATCAAGAACTCCCAAAAAACAAAATAACAGGACCAGATGGCTTCATGGTGAATTCTATCAAACATTTAAAGATTAAATACCTATCCTTCTCAAACTATTCCAAAAAATTGAAGAGGAAGTAATGCTTCTAAATTCATTCTGCAAGACGAGTATTACCTTGATAATACCAAAACCAGACAAAGATATTGCAAAAACAGAAAAGTATAGGCCAATATTCCTGATAAACTTAGATGCGAAAATTCTCAACAAAATATTAGCAAGCTAAATTCAACAATACATTAAAAGAACTATATTCCATGATCAAGTAGGATTTAATCCATGTATACATGGATTAAATATCCACAGATCAAACAATGTGGTACACCACATTAACAAAATGAAGATAAAAAACACGAACATCTCCATAGATGCAGAAAAAGCATCTAACCAAATTCAACATCCACTTATGATAAACACTCTCAACAAAACGGGTATAGAAGGAACACACCTCAACATAATGAAGGCCATATGTCACAAACTCATAGCTAACATACTCAATGGTGAAAAGTTAACAGCTTTTCCTCTAAAATAAGAAATAAGATAAAAATTTCCAATCTCACTACTTTTATTAAGATAGAATCGGAAGTCATAGCCACAGCAACCAGACAAGAAAAATAAATAAAAGGCATCCAAATTGGTGAGGAAGAAGTAAACTGTCACTATTTGCAGATATTATATATAGACATGATATTACATATCAAAAATCCTAAAGACCCCACCAAAAAACTGTTAGAACTAATAAATGAATTCAGTAATGTTGTGGGATACAAAATTAATGTATATAAATCTGTCATATTTCTACATACTCATAACAAAGTATCAGGAGAAATTAAGAAAGCAATCACCTTTACAGTTACATCAAAGGAAGAAAATACCTAGGAATAAATTTAACCAAGGAGGTGAAATATCTGTACACTAAAAAAACTATGAGACATTTATGAAAGAAACTAAAGATGAACCAAGTAAATAGAAAGATAAACCAAGTTTATAGATTATAAGAATTAATATTGTTAAATTTCCATACTACCCAAAGCAATCTACAGATTCTTTGAAAACACCAATAGCATTTTTCATAAAACTAGAACTTGTATGGGGCAGATATTTTATGGGGGCTCCTCAAAAATGAAAAAAAAGAGGTATCACCTCATACTTGTCAGGATGGCTAGTATCCAAAAGACAAAAAATAACAGGTGTTGGTGAGGACGTGGAGAAATGGGAACCTTCCTACGTTATTGGTGGGTATGTAAATTGGTACAGCCACTATGGAAAACAATATGAGGTCTCCTCAAAAATGAAAAATAAATTAGAAATTGTATGGGACAGATAATCTTAAAATCTGGGGCTGTAAAAAGCCTAAATAACCAAAGCAATCTTGAGAAAGAAGAACAAAGCTGGAAGTGTCACAATCCCAGATTTCAAGCTATTCTACAAATTTATATTAACCAAAACAGTATGGTACTGACACAAAAACAGACACATAGATTAATGAAGCAGAAGAGAGCCCAGAAAAAAACCCATGCTTATATGGCCAACTAATCTATGACAAAAAGGCAAGAATATACAATAGGGAAAAAAAAGTCTATTCAATAAGTGATGTTGGGAAAACTGGATACCTACATGCAAAACAATCAGTTTCTTACACAATATACAAAAATACACTGAAAAAAGAACTAAAGACCTAAATGTAAGGCTCAAAATCATAAAACTCCTAAAGGAAATCATAGGCAGTAAACTCTTGGACATCAGTCTCTTTGGATTGGTCTCCTGAGGGAAAGGCAACAAAAGCAAAAACAAGCATTTGGGACTACATCAAGCTGACAAACTTTTGCACAGCAAAAAAAAATGAAAAGACAACCTACCAAATGGAAGAAGATATTTTCAAATAACATATTCAATAAGAGGTTAATATCCAAAATATATTTCAAAACATAAAACTCAACACATACATACACAAAAAATATGTTTGATTTAAAAATGGGCAGAGGACATGAACAGACATTTTTTCCAAAAATGACATACTGATGGCCAACAGCCATATGAAAAAATGGTCAACATCACTAATCATCAGGGAAATGCAAATCAAAACCACAAAGAGGTATCACCTCATACCTGTCAGGATGGCTAGTATCCAAAAGACAAAAAATAACAGGTGTTGGTGAGGATCTGGAGAAACGGGAACCTTCCTACATTATTGGTGGGTATGTAAATTGGTGCAGCCACTATGGAAAACAGTATGGGGGCTCCTCAAAAATGAAAAATAAAAATACCATGTGATCCAACAATTGTACTTCTGGACATTTATCCAAAGAAAACAAAAACACTAATTGAAAAAGACATATATACCCCTATGTTCATTGCAGCATTATTTATGATAACCAAGATATGGAGGCAAACTAAATGTCCATTGATAATGAGTAGATAAAGGAGGGGTGGTGTGTGTGTGTGTGTGTGTGTGTGTGTATATATATATATATATATGCATGTGTGTATATTCCTTAACCATAAAAATGAATGAAATCTTTACATTTGCAACAATACAGATAGACCTACAGGGCATTATGCTAAGTGAAATAAGTCAGACAAAATGCTGTATGATTTTACTTATGTGTGGAACTTAAAAAACAAAACAAATGAACAAACAAAACAGAAACAGACTTTAAAAAAAAAGGAAGCTTGAAATTATACTATAAGTGAGGAGGAAGTAAAGAAGAATTTAAAAAACCCAAGTGACAGTGAACACATGTGTATGTTTGAAAGATAGTGTGAAGTCAGCCCGTTAGCTCAGTTGGTTAGAGCATGGTGCTAATAAATGTGAAAGACAAGGCCAGCTGATTAACCGGACACTTGCTACTAGCATGAATAAGGGGAGGAAAAGCAAGGAACAGATATAAGAGCTGTATTGGAGCTAGAATTGGATTTGGGGATCTACTGCATATAGAGTGGATAGGAAGAGAAGGACTCAAACATAACTTCACAAGTTTTTTTTAATTATTGAGTTTTCTTTTTTATTGTTTGCAAATATATGGCTAATAATCTTTTAACCCAATAAGAGTGAATTTTGGAAAGATATGTTCATGAGTTTTAGTTGGACATTTTCACTTTGAGATGCTCATGGAACATTAATATGAATTGGGAAATAGGGGCGTCAAACCCGAGAAAGCAATGCAGATTTGGAAATCATTGATTGATACAGTGAAAGCAACTGAAGCCAGTGATTTGAGTGAAAAAGCATCTCAGGAAAAATACCTAGAGCAGTGAGAGAAATAACCTAGGTTGGAACCTTGCGAATAACCAATCTGTAAGGGCAAAGAGCGTGCGAAGCAGAGTGGAAAGGCAGAAAAGCAGGAAGAGATAATGAAAAGGTTGGTGTCACAAGCATCTAGGGGAAAGGATGTTTAAGGGAGAGGACAATGATGTCAGAGGCTTGTCGACTATGACAAGGAATAAAAATTGAGTTGGATTTTGGAATTCAGAATTTATGGGTAATCTTACCATGAAGAGCTTCAGCAAAGTAGTAAAAGAAGAAAGCACTATTGCCAGAGGGCTGAGAAATCTGTGGAACTTGAGGAAGTATACAGGCTGGCATCTTTCAAACCCTTTCATTTTGAGAATGCTTTGCTCTATGATTATTCAGAATCCCAAAAAGCTTTTGTTTGTGTAGCTTGTCTACCAATAGTAACCATATTAGAAATGAAAACTGAGACCTTCTCAAAATAGTTATTGTCATTAAAAAATAACAAACCTACTAGAGGCAACTAAATAACATGTTTTTTGTGTCTGAAAAATAACTATACTTTCCAAAAACAGGAATTTATTTTGAGTTCAATGAAAATATTCTAATTGATGGTGGTGTGAACAATACTCTGTGAATATACTCAAGACCATTGAATTGTACACTTTAAATGGGGAATTGTATGGGATGTGAATTGTATTTCAATAAAATGATTAGAAAACCAAAAATTAAGGGCAGGTGCTCAATATATATTTGTGGGATGATTAATTTACCAAGTTGTAAATGCATTTTTGAATAATTTTAGTAAAACTACTTAATCTCACTTTTCTCTAAAACACACAAAAAATACAAGCAAAAAATTTGAAGCATTTCTTAGGAGTGGAAATTTAGAAAAAGAGAGATTCCTTAGTTTTCCTTATGGGAGGAAAATGATGATACAGTATTTTACTAACATTTTCCTTCTTTCTTTTAAAAACAAGTTCATTACAGTATTATTTACATGCCATAAAATCCACCCATTTTAAGTCTACAATTCAATGATTTTGTGTAAATTTATACAGGTGTCCAAACCTCATAATTCAGTTTTAGAAAACTTTCGTTACCCCCAAATATTTTTCTGGTTCCCATTTGCAGATGAACTCTGCTCCTTCCCCAAACCCACTCATTTGCTTTTTGTTTCTATACTTCTGGATTTTTTAAAAATTTCATATAAATGTTATCATACAATATATTATTTTGAGTCTGTCTTCTTTCACATAAGTGTAATTTCATATAAATGAAATCATACATGTGGTCCTTTGTGATGGGCTTCTTTCCCTTACCATAATGTTTTCAAAGGTCAAGCAATGTTTTAGCATGTATCAGCACTTTATTTCTTTTTATCACGGAATAATATTCCATTGTTCATATACCACATTTTATTTATCCACTCATCAGTTGATGTACATTTGGGTTGTTTCCACTTGTTAATGATTACAATGCTGCAATAAACATTTATGTACAAGTTTTGTGTGGGTGTATGTTTTCATTTTTGGGGGGAGGGTAATATACCTAAGAGTGGGATTGCCATGTCACATGACACCTGTATGCTTCACTGTTTGAAGAACTGTCAAACTGTCTTCTCAAGTGGCTGTACCATTTTACATTCCAACCAGTATTCTATAAGGGTTTCAGTTCTCCACACCCTCTCCAACACTTATTATCTGTCCTCTTGATTATAACCATCCTAGTGGTTGTGAAGAGGTATTCCATTGTGGTTTGATTTGCAATTCCATAATGGCTAATGATATTGAGCATCTTTTAATGTACTTGTTGGTCATTTGTATATATTCTTTGGAGAAAATTCTATTCAGAGTCTTTGCCCATATTTTAATTATGTTGTCTTTTTACTAGTTTCTAAGTTAAATATTTTACTGTGGTATAATATAATAACAAAATTTGCTATTATAACCATTTTTAAGTGTACTGTTCTGTGGCATTACATACATTTGAATCGTTGTGCAACCATCTCACCATTCATCTGTAGTTCATCTTCCCCAACTGAAATTTTGTGCCCATTAAATAACTTCCCATCCACCCTTTTCCCCCTGCTCCCCAAAACCCACAATTCTACTTAATGTCTTTATGCATTTAAGTAATCCATCTACTTCAAATAAGTGAAATTATACAGTATTTGTCCTTTGTGACTGGCTTATTTCACTTAT